AAGAAAATTGTTATGAAAAAATAGAATCAAAACAAAACTGCAAAAAAGAAAGAAAGAAAAACAAAAGAGTAATTCAAGTGCAAGGTATTCTCATTTCAATTTGTCACAATTACTGTTTGTCTGTGGCCATCTGTGGGCGAGAGATAAATCATTTGTAATTATTTTCATAAAATAATAAATGAGACAAACAAAGAGAGGGGAGGAGAAAAAAGAGCAATAGCAACAAACATGTATCAAAGAAAACACATATGGTAATTATAATGACACAACTGGATACACATATACTCACACACACACGCAAACATATGGAAAGAGCCGTAAATGCAAATAAAGATGGAATATGCCCATTTGAGGCAATTAGTTGTTTGGAAGTGTTATAAGTAGCTATAATTGTTTGAAGCTGAGGGTGAAATGCACTTTTTCGTCGAAACAAAACCTCACTCACTTGAGTCGACCATGAAATGCCCTATAAAATGTATGAACGAAATATTTAATCTGTTCTAGAATGGCAAAAAAATGGAAAAACATTTACTAGGATAAACGATTTTCCCTTTTCGATATCGAAGAAAAATTCCAAATCTTGTAGATTCTTGTAGGTTTCGGAAACAGAGCAACAGACCGGAAATCTTTCAATTTGAAAAGAAAAACAAATAAACAAGTTAAAAAGTATCAGTCGGTATTGCCGACAGATATATACCCTCAGCCTGTGTTCGATTATTTAAATATAATTTGACTAGTGTTACAATTATTCAAACGTTTGACCCTCTATGGAGCAGGTTCCGGAAGAATGGGCCAATATTGTATATTTCGTATCGGACCCAAAAATATGATATAAATATTCCGACGTTCCTGGTATGGATTATATCGACTAACTCCTTCACTTTATATAAAATATGTAATAATTTTTAGAAAATGTTAAAATGTGCCTGATGTACAAGATAGAATCTACCGAAATATTCCACATTTATACTTCATCTGATAAAAATAAAAGTATTGAGCGGAATCTTGGGCAACATTGCAAAGGATATTTATGTCCAATTTTATGCGAAATCGTAAATTCCGATAAAATTCATATTTATATCAGGCTTCTTATTGGGAGAAATATTTGAGCATAGCAAGTAGTAAAGAATTTTCTAATTGTTTCGAAAGTTATGACAGATAAAATTATTGAAAATTGTGACCCCAGAAGGGGTTGGTTTTCCAAAATCTTGAACCCTATGTTTGGGGGAGATGAAATGGTTCGATCTATATCACCTTTATAACAGATCTTGTGTTGATAGAAATATTGAGAGTCTAAATGGAATCGGATATTAATTTGGCGTTTTATGAGCTTTATGGGTATTCAAAATTTCGACACATTGTGGGGGAGGTACCAGGTGGAGTAGACCGATACATTCCATGTTAACGCCAGATCTTGGGTTTATAAAAATATTGGAATGTGTGAAATTTTAAGACGTTCGGATCCTTACATTACATTTTATAAGAGTTATAATTATCCAAAATTTTGACCCTTTGTGGGGGAGGTCCCTGATGGAGTAAACCGATATTGTCCATTGTCGCACCGGGCCTAGCACTTAAGCAAATATTAGGATTCGCAAAGTTCGAGCAAAAGCGGATCATCCTTTCTCTTTCTGTGCAGAAAATATATTTTTTGAAAATTTCGACCATTTGTGGGGAAGGTACCAGAAGGAGTGGACCGATGTATTCCACCTTCAAACCAGACCTTGGGTTAATAAAAATATTGGGATGTGTGAAATTTGAAGACCATCGGACTCTTACTTCACATTTTATAAGAGTTGTTATTATTCAAAATGTTGACCCTTTGTGGGGGAGGTACTTGATAGAGTGGACCGATATTGTCCATTTTCGCACTTGACCTAGCACTGACAAAAATATTAGAATTCGCAAAGTTGGAGCATAATTGGATCATCATTTCTCTTTCTATGCAGAAAATATATTTTTTGAAATTTTCGACCTTTTGTGGGGGAGGTACCAGAAGGAGTGGACCGATATTGCCCATCTCCGAACTCGATCTAAGTTTGACAAAAATATTACGATGTACAAAGTGTGGACCAAATCGAGTACTTCCTTCGAGAGTTATCGTGCGCACCAGCCAGCCAGACAGACAGACAGACAGACGGACGGACGGACGGACGGACGGACATCGCTAGATCGACTCCAAATGTTCTGAAACGGATTTGGTCCAAAGAGACCTAGGGTCTAAAACCGTTATTTCGACTAGGCACGTTTTGACCGTATCAAATGATATATACCCTCTGTAGCCATATGGCTGAGGGTATAAAAAGTATCAGTCAGGTTTTGTCGACAGATGTATACCCTCAGTCAATGTTCGATTATTTAAATATATTTTGTCATTTGTTATGATTATTGAAATTGTTGATCCTCTATGAAGTAGGTTCCGAAGAAATGGGCCAATATTGTCCATTTCGTATCGGACCTAAATAAATATGATATAAATATTGTGCCGTGCCAGGTTTGGACTATATCCACTACTTCCTTCACTTTATATGAGATATGTGATAACTTTTAGAAAATCCTAAAATGTGGGTGAGTTACCAAATATTGTCGACCGAAGTATTCCATGCCTCGTCCAACACAGATAGAAATATTGGTATCATGGTACAATAAGGAGGTAGAACAGCTTCGTAAAACTGCAAAAATACAGCCCTGAGGCTATGCCCGCTTCCTGTCAGCCTCATTCAAAATTATTGTTTTCTTTTTTTTAATATTTTTCATTTTTAAAATAAGTTAAATTGCGCGAAAAATGAATAAAATGTCTGGATTTTTCTCTCAAAAATATGATCCTAACTGTTCAATCTTTCAATTTCATGGCTATACTGGTTAATAGCTTTAATGCGCGAGCCGCAATTTATGTGTCTTCCAATCATTGGTTTTGAAAATATTTTTTTTTTACTTTTCAAAACAATTGATACATACACAAAATTGGCAGAAGTCGGGTACACTTAGAAAAAAAAATTATAATCAGCTGTTAGCTCTACCTTACCTTTTTATTGTAACATGATTGGTATGTTCAAAATTACAAGAAAATCAACAATTTTATGCAAATTTCGGATAAATTCCATATTCATCTTAGTTTTCTGGTTGAAAGAAATATTTAGACATAGCAGGTTGTTAAGAATCGCCGACTTGTTTAACAAGTTATGACCGATAAAGATATAGAAAATTGTGACCCTTTGTGGGTAAGCCACCTGAATGATATACAGGATAAGATAAAAAAAACTACAACAAAGTCAAACCCCATAATTTTTCCTTTTTTTTTCAAATTTTATTGAATGAAAACAAAAAATAGCATCAAATTTTAGAAATTTTGTTCGAATTGGTCACCCTTGACCCGAATTATAGCATTCAAACGGCCAATGAAACCGTCACACGCTGCCCGAATGTTGCTCTACGGTATTTTGGCCCATTCCCGGCGAAGCGCTTGCTTGAGGTGTTCGACACATTTGGATTTTTTAGTGTCAACCTTGCTTTCCAAAACACCCCAGACACAATAGTCCAACGGATTGGTATCCGGAGATGGAGATTTTGGTGGCCATTGTGCGCTGGAAATGAAGCGAGGAACCTCTTTTTGTAACCATTCTTGGGTGTCACGTGCTGAGCTGAGTGCGATGGTGCTGAGTCCTGTTGGAATTTCCAAGGTCTGCAGCCAAAATGTTTGCATGGGCAAGGCTTTAATACACCCTCCAGAATATTTTCGCGATAATATTCGACATTTATTCTGATGCCACCCACGGTCAATTAATACGAGCGAAGAGTGACCATCGGCGGCCCACACCATCACCATGGCCGGCGCTTGAGTTCTGGTGACCAACCGAAGGTGCACATTTTCAGCGGACCTCTTTGGCAAGTAAACACGATCATTTTGTTTGTTTACAAACTGCTGGACAACGAATGTTTTCTCATCGGAGCGGAGAAAACCAAATTCGGCAGTTCACCACCTTCGGCCAAGCGCACGATAACTGCCGAAGAAAGTATCCGATTTGGTCCAAACTTGGTACATCGTAATAATTTTGTCAAACTTAGATCGAGTTCGGAGATGGGCAATATCGGTCCACTCCTTCTGGTACCTTCCCCACAAAAGGTCGAAATTTTCAAAAATATGATTTCTGCACTGAAAGAGAAAGGATAATCCGATTTTGCTGCCACTTTGCAAATCCTAATATTTGCATCTGTGCTAGGTCAGGTGCAAAAATGGACAACATCGGTCCACTCAATTAAGTACTTCCCCCACAAATGGTCAAAGTTTTGAATAATTACAACTCTCATAAAATGTGAAGTAAGATTCCGATTGTCTTCAAATTTCACACATCCCAGTATTTATATTAACCAAAGGTCTGGTGTTAAGATTGGCATAATTGGTCCACTCCTTCTGGTACCTCCCCCACAAAAGGTCGAAATTTTCAAAAAAGAAAAAATAGTTTTTCTGCACAGAAAGAGAAGCAATAATCCGTGTTTGCTCCAACTTTGCAAATCCTAATATTTGCGTCAGTTCTAGGTCAGGCGCAAAAATGGATAATATCGGTCCACTCCATCAAGTGCCTCCCCCACAAAAGGCAAAAAATTTGAATAATATAAGTCTTATAAAATGTGATGTAAGAATCCGATTGTCTTAAAATTTCACACATCCCAATATTTTCATAAGCCCAAGATCTGGTGTTAGGATGGAATATATTGGCTGAGGGTATACATCTGGCCGCAAAACCGGCCGATACTTTTTACTTTTTTAGTCTATTTTTCCATCTTTCTGTGGTGATGACAGTAGTCTGAAATTGGTTGCAGTATACCCTCTCTAGTCACCCTGTATACCCACTCTAGCCATGTAGCTGAGGGTACAATAAAAATCTTACAAAACCTTTTGAACCAACAGTTGTTACTCTTCATATTCAACATTTATCCCCTGCTATGTTTTTTATACCTCCCACATTAATCTTCTCTCCTCTCTCTTTCTCCCATTGCAGACCTTCCCATTTGGAATTATGATGGCAGCTCCTGTTACCAAGCCTTGGGTTCCAATTCGGATACCTATTTGCATCCGGTTGCGATTTACAAAGATCCCTTCCGCCGTGGCAACAACATTTTGGTCATGTGTGACACGTATAAGTTCGATGGCACACCCACGGAGACAAATCATCGCAAAACCTGTTTGGAGGTGGTCAACAAGTGTTTGGACGAAGAGCCATGGTTTGGCATTGAACAAGAATATACATTCCTTGACTTTGATGGTTATCCATTGGGTTGGCCCAAGAATGGTTTCCCCGGACCCCAGGGACCCTACTATTGTGGTGTGGGTGCTAATAAGGTAAGAGAAGGACTTTTTTTTGGAAATTTTAAAATTTGAGAGATTCTTATGTGAATTTTAGGTTTATGCCCGCGATGTGGTCGATGCCCATTACAGAGCCTGCTTGTATGCCGGCATAAAGGTGTCGGGCACCAATGCCGAAGTCATGCCCGCCCAATGGGAATACCAGGTGGGACCATGTGTTGGCATTTCAATTGGTGATGATTTGTGGATGTCCAGATTCCTGTTGCATCGCATTGCTGAAGAGTTTGGCGTAAGTAAAGATAATGCGTGAATTCGAAAACGAAATCCTTGAAAATGAGTCCTTACAAAACTCAGGATTTTCCACGGTTATTTGTCATTTAGTCCTTGAAAAAATATTCTTTAAAAAATCCACGATTATTTGTCCCTTGGTCCTTGAAAAAATATTCTTTAAAAAATTCACGCTTATTTGTCCTTAAGTCCTTGAAAAAATATTCTTTAAAAAATCCACGCTTATTTGTCCTTAAGTCCTTGAAAAAATTATTCTTTCGAAAAACCCACGCTTATTTGTCCTTTAGTCCTTGAAAAAAATATTCTTTCAAAAAATCCGCGCTTATTTGTCCTTTAGTCCTTGAAAAAAATATTCTTTAAAAAATCCATGCTTATTTGTCCTTTAGTCCTTGAAAAAAATATTCTTTAAAAAATCCATGCTTATTTGTCCTTTAGTCCTTGAAAAAAATATTCTTTAAAAAATCCAAGCTTATTTTGTCCTTTAGTCCTTGGAAAAAATATTCTTTAAAAAATTCACGATTTTTGTTTCTTTAGTCCTTGAAAAAAGATATTTTAAAAAATCCACGATTATTTGTCCTTTAGTCTATGAAAAATTATTCTTTAAAAAATCCACAATTTTTGGTCCTTTAGTCCTTGAAAAAAGATTCTTTAAAAAATCCACGCTTATTTGTCCTTTAGTCCTTGGAAAAAATATTCTTTAAAAAATCCACGCTTATTTGTCCTTTAGTCCTTGGTAAAAATATTCTTTAAAAAATCCACGCTTATTTGTCTTTTGGTCCTTGAAAAATTATTCTTTAAAAAATCTACGATTATTTGTCCTTTGGTCCTTGGAAAAAAATATTCTTTAAAAAATCCACGATTATTTGTCCGTTAGTCCTTCCAAAAATATTATTTAAAAAATCCAAGAATATTTGTTCTTTAGTCCTGGAAAAAATATTCTTTAAAAAATACACGGCAATTTTTCCCTTGAAAAAATATTCTTTAAAAAATCCTCGCTTATTTGTCCTTTGGTCCTTGAAAAATATTCTTTAAAAAATCCACGCTTATTTGTCATTTGGTCCTTGAAAAAATATACTTTAAAAAGTCCACGCTTATTTGTCCTTTAGTCCTTGAAAAAATATTCTTTAAAAGGTCCACGCTTATTTGCCCTTTGGTCCTTGAAAAAATATTCGTTCAAAAATCCTCGCTTATTTGTCCTTTGGTCCTTGAAAAAATATTCTTTAAAAAATCCACGCTTATTTGTCATTTGGTCCTTGAAAAAATATACTTTAAAAAGTCCACGCTTATTTGTCCTTTAGTCCTTGAAAAAATATTCTTTAAAAGGTCCACGCTTATTTGTCCTTTAGTCCTTGAAAAATATTCTTTAAAAAATCCACGCTTATTTGTCCTTTAGTCCTTGAAAAAATATTCTTCAAAAAAAAAACACGCTTATTTGTCCTTTAGTCCTTGAAAAAATAAAATCCAAGATTATTTGTCCCTTAGTCCTTGAAAAAATATTCTTTAAAAAATCCTTGATTATTTGCCCTTTGGTCCTTGAAAAAAAATTCTTTAAAAAATCCTTGATTATTTGCCCTTTGGTCCTTGAAAAAATATTCGTTCAAAAATCCTCGCTTATTTGTCCTTTGGTCCTTGAAAAAATATTCTTTAAAAAATCCACGCTTATTTGTCATTTAGTCCTTGAAAAAATATTCTTTAAAAAATCCACGCTTATTTGTCCTTTGATCCTTGAAAAAATATTCGTTCAAAAATCCACGCTTATTTGTGTTTTAATCCTTGAAAAAATATTCTTTAAAAAATCCACGCTTATTTGTCCTTTTTGCCTTGAAAAAATATTCTTTAAAAAATCCACGTTTATTTGTCCTTTAGTCCTTGGAAAAAATATTCTTTAAAAAATCTTTGATTATTTGTCCTTGGAAAAAATATTCTTTAAAAAATCCACGCTCATTTGTTCTTTAGTCCTTAAAAATAATCTTTAAAAAATCTTTGATAATTTGTCCTTTAGTCCTTAAACAAATATTCTTTAAAAAATCCAAGCTTATTTGTCCTTTAGTCCTTAAAAATAATCTTTAAAAAATCTTTGATAATTTGTCCTTTAGTCCTTGAAAAAATATTCTTTAAAAAATCCACGCTTATTTGTCCTTTAGTCCTTGGAAATAAAATTCTTTAAAAAATTCACGATTATGTGTCCTTTAGTCCTTGAAAAAATATTCTTTAAAAAATCCACGCTTATTTTCCCTTTAGTCCTTAGAAATAAAATTCTTTAAAAAATCCACACTTATTTGTCCTTTGGTCCTTGAAAAAATATTCTTTAAAAAATCCACGCTTATTTGTATTTTAGTCCTTGGAAATAAAATTCTTTAAAAAATCCACGATTATGTGTCCTTTAGTCCTTGAAAAAATCCACGCTTATTTGTCCTTTAGTCCTTGAAAAAATATTCTTTAAAAAATCCACGATTATTTGTCCTTTAGTCCTTGAAAAATATTCTTAAAAATCCTAGAATCTTCCTTAAAAAATTGTCTTGTTTTCCCACTTTCAGATCGTAGCCACCTTGGATCCCAAACCCATGCCCGGTGATTGGAATGGCGCTGGAGCTCACACCAATGTCTCCACCAAATCGATGCGTGAAGATGGTGGCATTAAGTAAGTCCTGTCCAAAGGATATCCTTTTAAAATATTTATTAAAACCTCGTTCTTCTTTTCCTTACAGAGACATTGAACAGGCCGTGGCCAAGCTGTCCAAGCATCACGATCGTCACATTCGTGCCTACGATCCCAAGCAGGGTCAAGACAATGCCCGCCGCTTGACAGGCAAACATGAAACCAGCTCGATCAATGACTTCAGTGCCGGTGTTGCCAATCGTGGCTGTTCCATTCGCATTCCCCGTGGCGTTAACGATGAGGGTAAAGGCTATTTCGAGGATCGTCGTCCTAGCTCGAACTGTGATCCCTACTCAGTTGTGGAGGCTATTTTACGTACAATCTGCTTAGATGAATAAGTCGACCAAAAGAAAAAATGCAAAGCAAAACAGAACCAAGTGTGTGTGAAAGAGGGTAGGGCGGGGTGGCAGATATCAATTACTTGGAAAAAAACACTCATACCACTTGTTACTGTTATGGTGTGAAGTGTGTGTTCTGGGTTCGTCGTTTTCGCCACTATCCCCCCCTACCTTCATCAGCCCACTTCAATCCAGACCATGTTATATGTTCCAAGTTATTGTTGATTTTGTGTTGAAAGTTATTCGTTTTGTTGTATTTATCTTTTTTTTAAGTTAGCCACCGGATACAGTGGCCCAGAGGAATGAATCGAAAAAAGTGAACAATGAATTTATCTAACATACATTTCATTCAATATTTTGATTATTTCTAAGCGTCTAAGCAAAAATATTCTCTATTATCTCGTATTGTTATCATATCTGCGAATAGATTTTCCATGAAAAATCCCATGGGAGAACCTATTCTAGTTTTATTTATTGCAACTTGAAAATCGACATGACAATATTTACTCATTATAATTACTTTAATAAAAAAAATGCATACCATGAAGGAAAATAAATGAAAAATGTCTTAGCGGACCGAGTTTAAAGTAGGAAAAATTTGTTCTGGTTAATATTGCAGAGAACATAACAGGTGCAGTAGTTTGAAGGAAAGACCTCATTCCTCAAAAAAAAAAAAAAAAAAGGACGGAAAACAGATTTTTTTATAATTGAGAAAGGGTGAGTATCCACGCTTATTTGTCCTTTGATCCTTGAAAAAATATTCTTAAAAAAATCCACGATTATTTGTCCTTTGGTTCTTGAAAAAATATTCTTGAAAAAATCCACGATTATTTGTCCTTTGGTCCTTGAAAAAATATTCTTAAAAAAATCCACGATTATTTGTCCTTCGGTCCTTGAAAAAATATTCTTAAAAAAATCCACGATTATTTGTCCTTTGGTCCTTGAAAAAATATTCTTAAAAAAATCCACGATTATTTGTCCTTTGGTCCTTGAAAAAATATTCTTAAAAAAATCCACGATTATTTGTCCTTTGATCCTTGAAAAAATATTCTTTACAAAATCCACGCTTATTTGTCCTTTGATCCTTGAAAAAATATCCTTGAAAAAATCCACGCTTACTTGTCCTTTAGTCCTTTGAAATAATATTCTTTAAAAAATCCACGCTTATTTGTCCTTCTTTAAAAAATCCACGATTATTTGTCCTTTAGTCCTTGAAAAAACATTCTTAAAAAAATCCACGCTTATTTGTCCTTTAGTCCTTTGAAATAATATTCTTTAAAAAATCCACGCTTATTTGTCCTTCTTTAAAAAATCCACGATTATTTGTCCTTTAGTCCTTGAAAAAACATTCTTAAAAAAATCCACGCTTATTTGTCCTTTAGTCCTTGGAAATAATATTCTTTAAAAAATCCACGCTTATTTGTCCTTTAGTCCTTGAAAAAATATGCTCTAAAAATCCATTGAAATCCTTGAAAAAATATTCTTTAAAAAATCCACGCTTATTTGTCCTTTAGTCCTTGAAAAAATATGCTCTAAAAATCCATTGAAATCCTTGAAAAAATATTCTTTAAAAAATCCACGCTTATTTGTCCTTTAGTCCTTGAAAAAATATGCTCTAAAAATCCATTGAAATCCTTGAAAAAATATTCTTTAAAAAATCCACGCTTATTTGTCCTTTAGTCCTTGAAAAAATATGCTCTAAAAATCCATTGAAATCCTTGAAAAAATATTCTTTAAAAAATCCACGCTTATTTGTCCTTTAGTCCTTGAAAAAATATGCTCTAAAAATCCATTGAAATCCTTGAAAAAATATTCTTTAAAAAATCCACGCTTATTTGTCCTTTAGTCCTTGAAAAAATATGCTCTAAAAATCCATTGAAATCCTTGAAAAAATATTCTTTAAAAAATCCACGCTTATTTGTCCTTTAGTCCTTGAAAAAATATGCTCTAAAAATCCATTGAAATCCTTGAAAAAATATTCTTTAAAAAATCCACGCTTATTTGTCCTTTAGTCCTTGAAAAAATATGCTCTAAAAATCCATTGAAATCCTTGAAAAAATATTCTTTAAAAAATCCACGCTTATTTGTCCTTTAGTCCTTGAAAAAATATGCTCTAAAAATCCATTGAAATCCTTGAAAAAATATTCTTTAAAAAATCCACGCTTATTTGTCCTTTAGTCCTTGAAAAAATATGCTCTAAAAATCCATTGAAATCCTTGAAAAAATATTCTTTAAAAAATCCGCGCTTATTTGTCCTTTAGTCCTTGAAAAAATATGCTCTAAAAATCCATTGAAATCCTTGAAAAAATATTCTTTAAAAAATCCGCGCTTATTTGTCCTTTAGTCCTTGAAAAAATATGCTCTAAAAATCCATTGAAATCCTTGAAAAAATATTCTTTAAAAAATCCACGCTTATTTGTCCTTTAGTCCTTGAAAAAATATGCTCTAAAAATCCATTGAAATCCTTGAAAAAATATTCTTTTAAAAATCCACGCTTATTTGTCCTTTAGTCCTTGAAAAAATATGCTCTAAAAATCCATTGAAATCCTTGAAAAAATATTCTTTAAAAAATCCACGCTTATTTGTCCTTTAGTCCTTGAAAAAATATGCTCTAAAAATCCATTGAAATCCTTGAAAAAATATTCTTTAAAAAATCCACGCTTATTTGTCCTTTAGTCCTTGAAAAAATATGCTCTAAAAATCCATTGAAATCCTTGAAAAAATATTCTTTAAAAAATCCACGCTTATTTGTCCTTTAGTCCTTGAAAAAATATGCTCTAAAAATCCATTGAAATCCTTGAAAAAATATTCTTTAAAAAATCCACGCTTATTTGTCCTTTAGTCCTTGGAAATAATATTCTTTAAAAAATCCACGATTATTTGTCTTTTGATCCTTGAAAAAATATTCTTTAAAAAATCCACGATTATGTGTCCTTTAGTCCTTGGAAAAAATATTCTTTAAAAAATCCACGATTATTTGTCCTTTGATCCTTGAAAAAATATTCTTTAAAAAATCCACGATTATTTGTCCTTTGATCCTTGAAAAAATATTCTTTAAAAAATCCACGATTATTTGTCCTTTGATTCTTGAAAAAATATTCTTTAAAAAATCCACGATTATTTGTCCTTTAGTCCTTGGAAGAAATATTCTTTAAAAAATCCACGATTATTTGTCCTTTGGTCCTTGAAAAAATATTCTTTAAAAAATCCACGCTTGTTTGTCCTTTAGTCCTTGGAAAAAATATTCTTTAAAAAAAATCACGATTATTTGTCCTTTGATCCTTGAAAAAATATTCTTTAAAAAAATCCACGCTTGTTTGTCCTTTAGTCCTTGGAAAAACTATTCTTTAAAAAAAATCACGATTATTTGTCCTTTGATCCTTGAAAAAATATTCTTTAAAAAATCCACGCTTATTTGTTATTTGGTGCTTGAAAAAAATATTCTTTAAAAAATCCACGCTTATTTGTCCTTTAGTCCTTTAAAAAAATATTCTTTAAAAAATCCAAGATTATTTGTCCTTTAGTTCTTGAAAAAATTTGTTCTAAAAAATCCATTGAAATCCTTGAAATAATATACGTTAAAAAATCCACGATTATTTGTCCTTTAATCCTTGTAAAAATATTCTTTAAAAAATCCATGATTATTTATCCTTTAATCGTTTGAAAATTATTCTTTAAAAATCCACGATTTATTCTACCTTAGTCCTTGAAAAAATATTCCTTCAAAAATCCACGATTATTTGTCCTTTAGTCCTTGAAAAAATATTCTTTAAAAATTCACGATTATTTGTTTTAGTCCTTTAAAAAATATTCTTTGAAAAATCCAAGATTATTTGTGCTTTGGTCCTTGGAAAAATATTCTTTAAAAATCCACAATTATTTCTACTTTAGTCCTTGAAAAAATATTCTTTCAAAAATCCATGATTATGTGTCATTTAGTCCTTGAAAAAGTATTCTTTAACAAATCCCCGATTATTTGTCCTTTGCTCCTTCAAAAAATATTCTTTCAAAAATCCACGATTATTTGTCCTTTAGTCCTTGAAAAAGTATTCTTTCAAAAATCCACAATTGTTGGTCCTTTAGTCCTTGAAAGAAATATTCTTTAAAAATCCACAATTTTTGGTCCTTTAGTCCTTGGAAAAATATTCTTTAAAAATCCACAATTATTTCTACTTTAGTCCTTGAAAAAATATTCTTTCAAAAATCCATGATTATGTGTCGTTTAGTCCTTGAAAAATATTCTTTAAAAAATCAACGATTATTTGTCCTTTAGTCCTTGAAAAAATATTCTTTAAAAATCCACAATTGTTGGTCCTTTAGTCCTTGAAAGAAATATTCTTTAAAAATCCACAATTTTTGGTCCTTAAGTCCTTGAAAGAAATATTCTTTAAAAAATCCACGCTTATTTGTCCTTTAGTCGTTGAAAAAAAAAAGAAAGGACGGAACAACAGAATTTTTTTTGTAATTGGGAAAGGGTGAGTATCGTCGACACAGAATATGCGCGTCCATTTACAAAACCCAAATTTTCGATGGGCGATATTAGAAACTATGTTTCAGTCAGAAGGTCCTTGGAAAAATTTCTTTAAAATCCCCGATAATTGGCCCCCAAAAATTTTTGGATAAGGATTGCATAATAGTTATCGGGCGAAATGGTTCTCAACTTTTGTGTAGTCTTTGTAGAATATTCTCAAAAAAAAAAAAAAAAAACAACGTCCTTGGGTCCTTAGAAAATATTCTTAAAAAATTCACTTTTATTGAACTTAAAGTCCTTCAAAAAATTCTCTTAACCAATTAACGATTCTTTTTCCTAGATTTTTTTAAATCCACAATTCATTTTCGGAAGGTCCTTGGAAAAAACTGTTTTTCAGAAATTCACCATAATTTCCACTTTGTTCCTAGAAGAAATATTCTCTCAAATTTTGAAGGATCAGATCAGATGATAATAATGACTCGCAACTTCTGGAAAAAAAATCTCTTTTATATATATACAAAATAAAATATTCTTTAAAAAATCCACAATAATTGATACATAGGTCCTTCAAAAAATATTTTTAAAAAATCCACAATAATTGATACATAGGTCCTTCAAAAAATATTTTTAAAAAAATCCACGATTGTTTATCATTTTGCCCTTGAGATCATAAGGTTTAAAAATCCACGACTACTTTTTTAGTCCTTGGAAAAATATTAAAAAAAAAATCCAAAATTATTTGTCCATTAGTTCTTGAAAAAATATTCTCTTAAAAAATTCATGATCATTAATTCTTTAGTCCTTCTTTAAAAATCCACGATTAATTGTCCATTAGTCTTTGAAAAAATATTCTCAAAAAAATCCGAGATTATTTTTCCTGAAAAAAAAAATCTCATGAAAGTCATCGGAAAAAATATTCTTAAAAATTCACGATTTTTGTCCAGAACATCCTTTAAAAAGTATTCCTTAACTTTTATTGAACTTAAGGTCCTTCAAAAATTTATCTTAACAAATTTTTGGCTCTAGGAAAAAATTATCTTTTATATATATACAAAATAAAATATTCTTTAAAAATCCACAATAATTGGCCTTCCTTCAAA